GCAAATACCTCTACTGCGAGTACAAACAGAAGAGCTGACAGAGGGCATCCTTGGCGCACACCTCTTTCTAAATCGATCCAATCAGACAGAAAACCGCAATGATTAATACAACTTTGTGAGTTTCTAGTAAACACATCAATCCAATGTATGAAATCACTACCAAAATTAAATTTCTTCAAAACATGTAGAATCAAGTCTTTAGAAATACTGTCAAAAGCTTTGCTGTAATCTAGAAAGAGTATTGCGCCAGGAGAATTAGATTCTTTCGTAAAAGATATTATATCATCAATGGCCCTCACGTTGTTTGTGATGCTACGTCCTTTAATATATCCAGTCTGATCCTCACTGACAATATTAGGTATCACATTTTGTAACCTGTTTGCCAAGACTTTGGCGCCTAACTTATAATCAGTGTTGGTAATTGATATAGGTCTCCAGTTCGTAAGCTTGTCCCTACACAAGTCATGTTCATCATTACCCTTAAATAACAAAGAGATAACACCTTTCTTTGATTAGAAGAGAGTTGACCCTTAACAAAACTTTCGTTCAGTGAATCAACAACTAATGATTTAATTTACACCAGAAAAATTGATAAAACTCTGTTGTCAGCCCATCTAAACCTGGGCTACAGCTTCGCATATTTTTCAAACAAGCTTGCATTCAGAAATGGTAATTAACCCTTCACATGTTTCTCTTTGCATATCAGTTAACACAGGGGCATTTATATCAGAGACAAACTCCTCATATTCATTTAACTTAAATGGCGATTCTTCACGGTAAAGGTTCTTAAAGTATTGTGTTTGTTGGTTCAATAATCCTGCTTGATCAGTGATTATTGTACCATCGTCCCTCCTAAGACTTGTTATTACATTACGCGCTGCACGCGCCTTCTCCAACCTGAGGAAATATACTGTGTTTTTCTCACCCTTCTCAATCCAGGTGGTTTTGGAGCGAATTTGTGCTCCACGTGCCTTATAGAGAGCATGCATTTCAAATTCGGCTTTCTTTTTGTACACCTGTTGCTGTAACGTTGCATTATTTGGATCAGTGGCCAGTTGTTTTTCTAGTCTCATTAAATCTTCTTCTAAAACTTTGCTAGTCATGCATCTTTCATTAGCTTTTTGTTTGTCCGTAGTCAATCGAAAACATCTAACTTTATTTTACTAATAATCCCACATCATTTGTTTGTTCTCGATCGACGAGGCATTTAGGNCAGACTAGCAGGACTGCCTTCCCTGCCTGAATCACAAGTCAACTTCTTCCCTCCTAGGGGGTCAGCAGGGGTGGTCACACCTCATTAAGGCCTGGCTGTCCCTGCCCCTGCCGGCCACATGTGCCATCATCTTGAGTTACATGTACACAATGTACCAAGGAGGCTTAGAAACAAACTGACTCAGTGACTGCTTCTTACAGTGGACCTTTCTCTATTCATCTACATTTACATGTATAAGGAAAGAAGAAAGCATGTAAATGTGGATAAATAGAGAAAGGTCCACTTCATACATATAGGGAACTACAAATCCTTGTTTGGTTGGTCAAGGAGGTTATAGGTATTGAAACTTCTTTATTTCAGTATGGTATACTATATAATGCCGAGCACTCAGCTATAAGTACATGTGGAAGGGTAAAAATAGATGCAATCCAATTCACCTTCGTTGAAGTGACATGCATGTACCTGTAAATGTTACACAAGAACCCGTCAAAGGAAACCTGTGAAGGCCAGGGGGAAAAAAGTTGCTAGAGGGGAGGGCCAGGGAAAACCTTTTCTGCCTGACTTCCTACGCACCGGCCCTCCCCCCGGTAAATAACGTACGGTCCCTAAATGAACACAGACCAAGACTATGCACCTCTGCATTACAGTTAGGCTAATCCACAGGAACATGTAACAAATACTAGTCCTGAAACACTAGGAGCAAGTATCCACCCCTGAGTTGACTAACTAGTGGCTTGCCCTGAGTTGACTTTTTGACTAACTAGTGGGCTGCCATACCAGACCACCTGATGTGGTCACACAGGTCACCTGATACAGACTATCCCTTTTGTCCCCAAATGTGTGTCCAAGCTAAGGGCTATCCCCATACAAGTATACAAGTTTAGAAACACTGATGATAGAACTTAGAAGAACAAGGATTACTAAATAATGGGGAACAGATGCCCACACTAGTACTTGATTTATAAATAATTTTTGCTGAGTTTTTGGTGTCTGGCTTCCTGCAGCCTGTTTTCTAGCAAGTCTGCTTTTAGAGTGTGTTTCCGACTTGCAGCTTGCAAAGCAGTATGAGAAAGAATCTCTGAAATTCAATGCCTTTGAGGATGTGTCCCAATTTTGAACTCTTGTTTTTCATTCACTGTATTGTTGGCTAGCCCTTACAATGTACATCCAGTTGGCCAAGTAAAGCCAGGGAGGTAAAGTTTCCGAACCAGGGAGGTAAAGTTTCTGACCATCGTCTTCAAATCATTTCCAGTCCAACTGAAAAGACTGGACATCTCTGACTCCAGCAGATATTAGGGGTTAATCTAAAGGTGAAGCGTGACCACTTTATAATCACCGTGGCAGGAAATGGCACGCATGCAGCACCACCTCCTTCAAGGCTTGCAGGGCTTGCTTGGTTGACAGGATTTAAGGAGGGAAACTCAGACAGCCATAATTACCATGAAATTACCGTGGCAGTGGGCATCTATGCTGCACTGGTGGGGCATGTAAGCTTTAAGCATCCACGCAGCACGGATCAAGCTTTTGACTAGGGCAGCACTTTTACTCTTTCTTTACTAAATTATCCGCCCACTTCTACCGTCTGAGGTGTCGTGAGGAATGGCAGTTGGCGGACCAAAGGCTAGACTTGAGGCTGTTGCTATAGATATGCCATATAGTCTAGTCCGGGTGCCCTTCTAGATCTCTGTCCACGTCTTCCTGGGAAGTCCCCTTGCCTTCGGTGATCCAGACTTTCTGAAGTCGTCACATGATGCTGTGTATGGTATTTTTGTGGTGGCATATCACCCTAACAAGGTGTCCGAACCGCTAGTTTGATTTGTCTTTGGTCACTGTACTGTCTGACTGGTCGTACTCCAACCATTCAAACCACGCCAAACAGATTGTGGTGTAACAGCTATTCGTCTCAATACCAAAGTTTCGCACTTCAACTGGGAGCAGATAGAAATTCACTCTCTTGGTCATTAGTGGCAGAGAATATGACAAACCAAGGACATTATATGCACAAGTGTCCTTGACCACACATTCTTTTCCAAATATGTCCGCAGCCTAGCCTGACTAATCGCGCCCCCCACCCCGTATTCTTGGGGTGGGGGTCATTAACCTCCGGCCGAGACACAGGCTAGTCTGCTGCCGAAATACGTTTTGTCACTCAAGAAACAATCTTAACGGTATTCTTAACGCAACTCTTGCTGGTACCATGAAAATCTTTTGAGATCGGGGGGAGGGCCATGGGAAAAAATTTTGACCGGACCGCACCATCCCCCCCTCTCCCCGGTGAATACCGTAAAGTCTTGTTTTGGGTGGTCGACCCAATTTTCCATAGGTCGCAAAATGACAAAAATAATTTGCCTGGGCCTGACTCATTTTGAAACCATGGCGGCTTCTTGAGAAATGTAGCAGAAATTCTGGTTTCTAGCTTAATAACATGTGTACGTATATATATGAAAAGAGCGATTTGTCAAGAACAGATAGGGTAAACACACGCGTCGACTGTGTTTTTTTAAAAACATCATACTTGTTCTGTTTTGTGAAGGAACCCTAAAGACAGATTGGCATAGTTTGACCTTTGACCGTACATGCTTCAGGAAGTTTACGTCAACACCTGACAAGTGTCTTAATTACGTACATGTATACTCGCCTTGGAACACCTGCTCCAAGGACTGGATTTATATTTGCAAAACACGAGGATAGTCTGATAACACAAGATATTGTGAGTGTACATTGTCGGTGTCGACGTGCATATGTTGTATGTGAAGCAAGAAAATTGTGGTTTGGATGTATTGTAGAAGCCGTTGATCAATCAGGTGTGTGCGTGGTACAGGCACTTCCCGGTTACTAGCTGTGCGTCAGTGGCAAATGGACAGGGTCAGGGGTCAACGTTCTGTCTTTTCCTCTGCATTACCGCACGTAGTCAAGTCAATGTGGTGTATAGCCTCTTGTACAAGTTATACATATGTTCAAATGGCGAAGTGTTGATGTGATATGACCTTAATTAAGCTCAGGGGAAAACAACCTATGGGGAAAACAATCTTTTATGTTGGAGGGTCGACTGGAAGTTAACTTGATGGACCCAAATAATTGATGAAGTGTTGATTTTGAATGACCTTATATTGTGGGGGAAACACGAGGATAGTCTGATATCACAAGGAATAGTAAGTGTACGCCAGAAAGGAATTATTCAAGCAACTGGATATGATTTTGGAAAGGGAAAACAGTACCAGTCAAAATGTCACTCAACAACAATGCACAACATCTTCCTACCCTATAACACTCTGCGTCGCCAAGGTGTTTTCAACACCACACTTGTTGTTTTTCAGCCCAGAAATTGCATTTTTTGCAGGTCCTTGGGTACAATGTAGCATTTAGTTATACACAACTTGGCATTTACCTGGATTTTAGCAGACCCCTTCAAGTCGGAAGAAGAGCGGAACACGGCATCTGATGACACACTTGCGCTGTTGTACTTTCGGAGCGAGAGAAAATTTGCTTTGAACTTTGGCACCAAGTTCAGTTACTCCTCCAGCTCCAGGTTACTTCCGCCTTCGTACAAGGGCAGTACCACCATCTCTATAGGGGTGTATAAGACATTTTTATATTCTCCTGAATAGATAAAGGTGTAAAGATACAAACTTCTTGCTACTTATAAATTATTGCATCTATTGAATTGATAAATGGTCATAAATTCTGAATGTTCAATTCCGTGTTTACCTTAATTTTTGCATGATATAAATAAAAGCTAGCGCGCCTATGAAAAGTAAAGTGGCCCGATTAGTAATGGTCACGTGACTCGTCATATGACGTCCCCGGTGATCAAACATGGCGCTTTGAGCGACAAAGTTTCACTTCTCTTCCCAAACTTTCCTTAAGTTTGACGCAAAACGGGAATATTGACATCTCTCGGTAGTTTGGCCTGTTCAAAGAGGCAAATATGGTGACCAGGAACTACACAGTGCCCACTTTGGCGAAATGGTTCAATAGTTTTCCGCACTACAATCCCAGTTTCTCCGGATCAACAACACTTTTTCGCCGGACGACTCCGACTACCAAGAGGTAAAAGTCCGATAACTCGATCAGTTAACTCCTTTTATGAGATATTCTTTGATAGAACTTTGTCCATCCTTTAATGTTAGACATTTCGATCCATGTTTTACCTTTTCTCTGTTGTTTTTCTCGGTATATCTTCACGTGTAACGGCGCGTGTAGATTATGTAACTTACTCGATAACAAAAATCGAAACTGGAAAATTTGTACCATATGATACACCTGATAAAAGACCGGATCCCCACTAGAAGGTAAACTGTTTCTCTCTCCACAGTCCCTGGGGTTCTGGGCGGCTGTTCCCGTGGCCTGGTTGACGCTGACGTTGTTTTTCTTCCTGGTGTACTTCTGTGCGAGATGCTGTTCACACGGCACGGCACGGAAACATCCGGCATACTGTCTCAGGTGGACTATCGGGATCCTGTCGCTTATTGCCCTGTGAGTAGCTGTCTTAATTTTTTCAAAATTAAATTTCATAATGATGCATTGTATGTTATTTCAAATTCACTACAAACAGCCGTATATAACATTATGGAAATAATGCATACTAGAAAATAGACAATTAGAGATATGATTATGAAAGTACATGTAACAGAAACGTTTTTATGAGTTTCTGTGTTAATTTGAAATCTTACAATTGTAGAAATTCTACATTTTATGCGTTGTCCACAAACTGTCATAAGGCACAAGCATACTAAGACCTGTTACTCATATTACAATGTTATGCATTATCAAATCAAGTATAAAGTACTACTAGAATTATGAAATTGATGTAATAGGTAATGATTTTGTAACTTAAATATATTATATATTTATAATGTTATATTTGGATAAAGTCTTTTTTAATATCTTTTGATTGTATGTTTGTTTATATATTATTGTGGATAATTGCTGAGAAAATAATGTACCAGATGTTTTTAAAATGATACTTATAACAGGACTGGTGCCATTTCAGGACGGGTGTGGCCATCGGTATCTATGGCAACGTGGAGGCAGACCAGGGAGTCCAGGACTTCGCTACTGCTGTAGAAAATGTCAACCAGACCATCATGGGGGTGGAAACCCAGGTCAGGACTTAAAAGTTCAATCACATCAAATTTGACCATTAAAAGTCTGTTATATATAGGGTAGTGCCCATCTCTCTTCTCTATTATAGCCCTTGGGCCACACAGTTGTGCAATCACTAACTATACTACCACTCTTTCCCAAATCTTACCCAAAGTGCTCAGCAGAGAAAGCAGTATGTACCACCTACCAAAGCAAATGTACTGGGAAATAAATAAGGCAAACACTATACTAGTATACATGTACTCATATGGCTATTGCACTGTTTTCCATTATTCAACAGCAATGATTTTGATATTAACATTAGAATTAATATATCTACCTCATATTAGTATCTATATATATAGCAGGTATAACCATTAGTATTAAATATCGATGGGACAAACAGTTGATAATCGCCCATGGTAACGCAAGGTTACCAGTTTACGGTCGAATTATGGAAAATTCCATTTTTTGTGAAAACGCATGGGCAGAACTAAATATTTAACCCTTGTGGAGAAACAGTAGTTCGTCGGTTATAAAAGTGTGTGCCGTGTCATTTCTTCCCTGCGTTTTTTGTGCCGTGCCAGCTTTTATTTATTTAGTAGTTAACAGTGGAGAATTGCTCTAGGGTGACCAATTAACGGTCACTTGGACCTTTGTCCTTGTATGCTCTACGTATAAGCGCACATAAACAAACACTTTCTGCAAAAAAAATACCGAAGTGGTCAACAACAAACCACGGTAAAATGTCAGTGTGTAGCCCACTGTCGCATGCAGTAGCGCTGTGGTGCTAAATGAGGCTGGACCTGCATTTTTCCCTTAGTAGAACGTGACATAATGGCCCAAGATGTTCCATTAAACCGTTGCAATAGATAACAAGCGTCTATGCCCCTCCAGACACAACGGAACGTCGTGAAAACCCGAGCAAACTTTTTGCTACGGACGCAGGAAGCCATTTTGACATTTTTGCATAAATTAATGTGCAACAGCGCCACATACAGTGCGACTTTTACGTACCTTTCTGCAGTTTAAAACCGTGACGTCACCTGATGCAACGATGATGATGATCAAAATGGCGTTCGAAAAAACGCTAGTCGGCGAGAACTGCCACTGTACTTTTGCTTGTTTATTTCAAGGTGTTTGAAAGTTTCATACCTCACAACACCATGGATGATTGAAATAAGAAAGCCAGGTTTGATGCCAGCTATCGTTACAATTTCCTAGCATTCTTGGGATTTTAAAAAATCGACGAAATGTTGAGTATTGTATTATGTGAAAAACACAACATGCGTCCAAGGCCATGTTACCTTGCTGTCCCGTCATATCGGAAGATACTCTGCTGTGTCGCTGAATGCAAACTTATTCCCATCCAGTGAATAAATAAAAGACACATATAAGGATCATATTCATGTTATTCTTTGTTGCTCACGACCGTTGATTTTTGGCTGGTACACCTCGAAGCGTGGCCGTGTCACTAACTGACCGTAAACTGGTCCTGCACGTAAACTGGTAACCTTGCGTTACATACTATTATGTCTGAATGTTTGTGAAAGAGGCATGTGATATGTACAGATGTCCCATTATGTAGTCACACTGACCAAAGGTTAGCAATCTACAACAATGGCCTAACCTCGAAACAATCGACCAAGTTGGGTGGACTGACACTATGTAAAAATCAATTTGTGTTGTTCGATTTATACTATTTTAGCAACCACTCTGTGTAAAAGAACAAATGAATTGAAAAAGAAAACAAATGAATTGAAATAGAACACCAATTGTATTAACTGTCAACATTATGCATCTGTGAAGGTTAGACATCCAGGTAATAAGGTACACCAAAAACAGTTACTCCAGTTGCTTGAGTGACTGTTTTTTTGCGTATCAACTTTATATGGTTACAAATAACACAAAAAAAAGGGTTTACTAGTTTTGAGAAAAGGGTTTATTATATTATACTAAAACTATTTTGTTTTTCTTGTATTTGATCAGGTCAATGGAATGAACAATGATCTTTCGGAAGTATCGGAACCACTGGTTCGACTCAGAGATCTGGTGACCAACATCCCTGGTGCTGGGAAAATTATCGATGACACCATTGCAGAGGTCAGTCCATGATCTCAGCTGTCACCGTAGAACTATCCATTTGTTAACATTGATCTTGTATTGTCGCTGTTATGTTAAACTGTAGTAACTGTTCTGTTTACTGCTAGTCAAGTATAACGTTGTGAACATTCGATAGATGACATGTAATCAAATGCTTGAATAGGGAACTTGGTGTCTGGATTGCCCATTCAGTGAAAATTTAAGTGAAGTAATGCACTGTCAACAGCATGATGTTGTACTTTGTACATAAATTATGAAACTCTGGTCAATTCCATCTACATGACTATTGAACAGTGCCATCTAGCAGAAATAGTTTGTACTGCAAGCATGTAATGGTCTCAAAACAATTTGTTCCACAATCTCAAACATTTACCATTCTCCAACTATTCTTGTTAACTATGGAAAGTATGCCCCAATTTTTCTCCTTTGCATGTATGTATGAGAGGTATAAAAAACAGTTCTGCTGCAGTGCTGCAAAAAGCTGCCAGCTTGAATTGTTTCTCAATTATATTATATATTATGTTGTCCACATTCATATGTTGTCCACATTCAAACACCCTTCAAGAGCCTGGAAAACATAAAATTCTTGCCAAAGGTAATTAGATTAACTGTAAATGAACTAATGATACAGCTACAGGATGACCTTTACAAACATGAACTAAGATTTTGTGTCCATTTTAGGTTGATAACCTCATCAAAGAGCTGGCGACTATTCCCTTTGATAAGGAAGGTGTGAATTTGCAGTTGATAGCAGACGACACCAGGTTCTATGAATACTACAGGTACACTTTCTATTAATATCATCATTTCTGTAATATGGACTGTTTTTAGATGTTGATAGAAGATGCCAAAGGATGTAAATTTTCTTCTTATTGCAATCTTTAAATTGCTTGTTATGAATTCATATTAGGCTTGGATAGATATATTCAACAGTGTAGAAACAAAATACATGTACTAAAAATATTCTCGTACGAAATTCACCACATGCTCAGCAAATTTACTTGCCAAAATTGCCCTAATTATACAAGACATGTACTGGTCTTAGTCAGTGCTGATACAGGCCATTGGTGCATAATTTGGTAACAGTTGATTTGTGGTATTAAAAGATATTACTAGGTGTTGTCTGTTTAGATCTATGTTAGCGAAATTGCAGGTTGACACAGCCTTCACTCGCTGTTCTCAGTGTGATCCAATGTCAAGATCATACTGTCTGTGCCAATCTGTAATTTTGTGGGCAGTTTTGTTTAACAGGCAATGGAAGGTTTATATTTTTCATTATTAGGACATCCAAAGCAATTTCAGGGCAGTAAAACTAGACTTTCAAAGTCATTGTTCAGATTATTTTTTTTTCATGTACAGTGTACATGTAATAAGAGATATCAGGCAAATCAAGCTATTTATTGGTGGTAACGCGTTACATGTACCAAAAATAAAAGAACTCACGTGGCTAAATTTTTTTATGTTTTTTAAATGCTTGAAGCATGAAATGATGACGAGAATGTTAAAAAAGGGCAGATTTCCTCATCTAGAATGTTTTTTTTTTCTTATTTGGCTCCCTGAAATTGCAGTGAATACCTTTAATGAACAATGTTTCCTCATGCTGTGACATGTGTACATATATAGCTGGCGTGCATGCCATGGTCTTAGAACATGATTGACGACATGATTGAAAATGTAAAACAACAGAGAAGTCTGGTATGAACGGGGTGTAACTTGTTTTAGGGCCACTCACTGAGATCAATAAAGTGTCCCCAGATCTAGATATTGTGAGATTTTCCCTTCTCAATTTATTCAGTTTGACAAAATCATACAGATTAGCAGGGATTGGCTAACGCACCCCTGAAATATGCTTCAATTTTTACAAACAGTTGATTAAAAATCAAGACAAGTGAACAAAACACACTACGGTATATACAATCAACATTCAAATCAAACTAAAACAGTGCAGCCGTGGGTCAATGTCATTATCACCCATTATCATTGTAGAATCTTACAGCACAATGTAAAGGGGGGGGGGAGTCAGAGCTTAAAAACAAGGTCCTCTTTGAATTTTGATTGGCATAATTATACCGAGGAAAGCCTCAGGGTCCAATTTGAAGAGGTGTTTTCATCTTGTTAGCTAATGTTTCTTTTAATTAGCAATATTCCAGCTGTAGATTGCTAGAATGTTCACACAGTGTTGTCAGGGTGATCCATATGTCAAGATAACACTGTCATCTAAAACAGAATCTGTATTTTAGTGGGAACAGTAGTCATAACAGTTTTAAATTTGATGGAAAGGCAAATTGTAAGGTTTAATGAATGATGTTTCCTTAGAATATTAGCTGTGATATTTGTATGTTATTTGTGTGTGTATGAGGAAATATGGGACCAGTAAAGATGTCTGACTCACATTTCAAGAATTTTGACATGCAATTTCATTTGGCCAACATGTTTTTTTGTGTAGTATGGCACTGTGTTTTCCACTTGGTTTTAAGACTGAATGTTCTTGTCTTGTGTTCTCCATGTACCATATATAGGTTCTTGGGGACAGTCCTCCTCCTGGTGTTAGAGATTATAATTGGACTTGTGGCACTGTGTGGAGTTGGGCGGGGCTCCAGATGTCTTCTCATTTTGTAAGTACACATCCTTTCTAGAATAATAAAAAGACAGTTGAATACAGCTCCATGAATCTCTATATTTGTAATCAAAGACTTTGCCCAATGGATCCACACACCATAATTCATTATTATTTTTTGAAATAAAACCAACTTGAAGGTAACGGTTGTAATTTTCTAGATAGATTTTGAGTTTGACTTCAAAGTTCAAGTAACTGTTATCTAATGATATCTCATTACCTACATGTAGTAGCTGGCCTGGATGTCAAATCTTCATCAATGCATGATTCACTATAATGGTCGTATTCACATGAACTAATGACACTCTAAGACTTTTTCAGGAATTATTATTTAAAGCTATTAGATAACAAACTAAAAGATATTGACCTTGCTTGTTTATCTTCATTTTCAGCATGACCTGTCTAGCCTTCCTGTGTCTGTTTGTCTGTTTCGGTGGTGGGGCAGTGTACTTAGCCGCTGGTGTGGTAAGTTTTTTTTTCACTCGTAAACTAATTTTATTAAATTAACAGTGTTGGCTGTTCAGGACAGCTCATTAGTAATAAAAGCAATGACATTTTGGATCTTGCTGGGGGCCATATATACATACGTACATTGTACTAAAGTCTTGATAGTGTTGGAAATTGGAGATGCTTGCTACCACGGGTGGTAGGCTGTGGAATTCTTGTTGAGAAAGGGACAGTGGTGGTCGTATGCCCAACTGGGAAGGCCCACCTTGGAGCCAGCTAAATTGTTTTCTGTCTCCCTTTTGGGCTGAGTTTGTCCTACTTTCAAATGTTTTGCTTATTAAAAACCCTTGTCCTGCTGTGCGCAACATATGTTGTGCGGCACATTCAGTACCATCTATATAGCACCCTGCATAGGTACAATTTGGGGGTATTTCTCGTGCAACGGATTACACCGCAGAGAAACGCAACGAATGCGGAAGTAACTATGCCACTGCAGGGCAAAAAAATCTTGTTTTTTTTTTTATCTAATCAAGACATGAAAATATTGAAAAATATTGTGCCAGGAACGCCAGCAGGACAAGGGTTAAGAACTCGAGTGCTTTGCCGGTTCGTTCAACTTTCCAGCACCAACTTTTGCAGTTCAACGCATACACATTGCAACGAAAACTCTTAGGCCTTGGCCTTCTACTTACATGTAATACACAATGATACACTGTAGTACACAATTTTTAATAGGGGTACATGTAGCTCCCAAGTGACAGCTGTTTCTTGTGTATATGTAAATCTGTAAGATTTTCATCTTTTCAAGCTATTTAGACCTGACGAGCCAATTAGCTAGGGAAACTATTTTGATTCATTGCCCATTAAAAAACAGCATTGTGAATTTGACAGATATCACATGGAACATAACCACACCGCAAGCTCCCTTTTGTCTGATATCATCTTGACAAGATTAGACACGATGTCGTGATGATGATGATAATGAAACCTTTAGTGGGATCACCTTCACCTTGCCAAAGTCCCATGATTACCTGTAGTGGTAAACATGTAGATGTTAGATCAATGTCTTCCAACACGACTAGTATTCAAGAAATCACAATGTGAAATGCGTCTCCCTAGATGATATCATTAAGACATGTTCCTAGTACCAAAATATACTTGTTTAATTAAACATTTTAAACACTAACAAGCCCTTTCTGTTAAATTGTAATATGCTGTAACGTCACCATCATATATGTACCATTCTTGTTTTTGTTTGTTTTGCATAACCGGTAAACTGCCTTTAGGTGTAACACACCAGTTTTGTACATGTACAAGCTGTGTAAGACTGCAGCTGGACTGTAAGGTTTGAACCACTCACACCGGGAAGGTCCCCAGATAAGGTTCTTTAACATGCATGGGGTTTGGCTCTCCCAAAATACGGGACCTCAAATAAGGTCCTATCCGAGGGATGTCCCTATCTGAAGCTAGTTACTCACTTCCACCTGAGTGAAGTGAGGAAAGTTGTGTAAAGTGCCTTTCCCAATAGCACAAGATCAGTGACATGGGAAGGATTAGAACCAGGGACCTCTTGGTCCTGAGCCAAACACTCTATCCCTACACTACATGACCCCACCTTGTAATGATTAGGCTTTAAAAAGAAACTCAATAACACTCAAAAATATTGCTACTTACATCAACAAGATCATCTGGACCCCTTATAATATTGTAATATAGTTGGGTATTACTAAAATGAATTGCTGCATTTTTTTGCAAATTATAGCTCAGAAGATAATTGGTTCATCTAATGTAAGTAAGAACTTTTTCTCTTTACCTGTCAGACCTGTCCTTGCTCTAACCGTTGAATCTTTCAGTTGTTTTCAAGCCACTTCTAAGTGTCCCTTGTTGTGGGATGTTTCCTGAGGGGAATTATAGCTTGAAAATCAGAACCTATCTGGTTGGTATAATTACACTGAAGAAGTCCTGAAGGTCCAATTTAAAGAGGTGCTTTGATGTTTGTTGGCGTGGATGTATCTCAGGGCAGTTCCATTTTGTCTGTGTGAATAGAATCAATGATGGTTCATGTTGCCTACAGCCAGTGTACATGTACTTTCAATTCGATGACTGTTCACTCCCAAATGTGTTTTTTTGTTAGATTAGAGATCCTTTCAAGTTTTCATGCATTTTTATACCCATCTCTAAGATTCCTTCTGGTTTTTCCCTTACAACAGGAAGTCTGGTTAATGGTAGGATGGTATTTTTAGAAAGATTTTTCAAATTACAGGTTACATAATTAGACATAATTGTTGAATTACAGGAAACAACTAGAGAAGTAACATTTGCAAAGCAAATGCATAATGTTTAACTTTGGATATGGTCTGCTCTGTTAATTCTTACTCAAACACATTCACATACATGTACTACTAGTATATGGTGACAGGAGCAGAGCAGACCATGAAATTGCAACATTATGTAACCCAACACCAGTCACCATGGTTATACAATGTAGACATCAACGAATCATGTCATTGGTCAGGTTAGAGGTCACTGTTTGGAGAAGAAGAAGGGGAAGAAACTGAGCAAAAACAATATGTTTTCCTTTGGTAAACATTAAAAGAAGTACAGACTGTATTTGGGATGCCCTAATGTAAAATTGAACTCAAGGACATGTATTATATAGGACTATTTGACCTCTCTATCTACATAAGGTTGCTTACATAACATTGTTTTCGTAACATATATAGAGTATGCTGTTAAACTTTATTCCAACACAAAGGGTACACAAGGATGACATTTTCAACAACCACTGTTACCATCATCAGGATAATGTATGCAGACCAATCACTTCCAAATGTAAACCCGCGAAAGTTTTGACAATGTGTACCGTTTGTGTTGGAATTAAGTTTTGCATCATACTATGTATGCTTTCATAACAGTTCATTTAAGGGTAGAAATGTTATCTACTAGCTAGTACTAGACAATTACAAACATTGTGTTAAACTAGTCCTTTGAAAACCTTGTTCCCACCCAGCTTGATATTAATGACACTGCAGGACATTTCTTTGAAAGTGTGGTTCTTGTATGAATGTACGAAACCATTTTGATGCTTTCGGCCTAACAATTTCCGGTAGAATTAAAGTATTCAGGTTGCTGAGGCAACTTAACATTTGCTTTACAAAGCCTTTTTTTGTAGTTTGATGGTCCTTTTTTATGTGTAAAAAGGATAGATCGTTTTGATGACACTTCAAAAGGCTGAACGTCCTGTGTGAAGTGTTGAAAGTCCTACATGTATGTGCATTCCCAATGCTTACGTAGGTTAACCTTAAATTCTACCAAGGGATATATTGTTCAATGGTTCTTTTATGGATGAAAGAAGTAATTTTTTATGGATGAAAGAAGTAAAGATGGCATTTGTATCATGGCTTCGGTATCTGTTTAATTCAATCAAAAACTTTCATTAGTGTCTACTTAATATTAGTATAAAACATATTCCTACCACAGTGACTGTTAGATATATCCACAACCATGCATCTAAACAAATCTCCAGTACAAATTGTAATTGTATTGTAATATAATGTAATGTTATGTAATGTTTTAGGATTGTATGTACATTGTATGGTGTGACATGAACACCTGTTCCACAATGCCATAATTATGGAGAATTAGTACAAATAAATAAATATTATTAAGAGATCTCTCAGCACACATGAATAGTTTTTCAAAGTGGTGGCAGATAAATGTGAATTTGAAAAGAGCTCTGTATTAAAGAAGGTGCTTCCACTTCAGAGCCCAGACTTGAGTGCATTTCACCAGCTAGAACATCCTGTACATTGATACTATGAATCTGAAGGTTAACATTATAGACCCCTGTATCTGTAACTACCTGTTATTGTATTAGGTTGACCCTGGGGTCTCCAATGTCATACACTGACTGAATACTGTAATTCACTTTATGTTCACGCTAGCAAAATTTCACAGTCTGAGAAAAATTGACATGTTCACAGAACTATGTATTCACAGTAGCAACATGCAGGTGCAGGAAAAAAGAAAGTCCAGGAATTATTTTTGAACAGTAATGAAGAATTCTCGGTACAGAAGTGACAGTGAAAACAGTGAACATAAAAGTACAGTGAAAAAATCAGGAATTACAGTATGTTACCAGGCTCATTCCGATTGTAGTCATGTCAATTTACTGTAAATAATAAAAAAATTGTGGTGGGTTTATTCTGCGTTGGGAGAGAAAGGGAGTTTTTTTAGGGTGTTTTAAATTCACCATTGCCGCAATTTTGCAGTACAAGCCATACAAGGAACAAGATATTCACAGTGTCATGGACAGAGGTCACAGCTGAATATATATCTGGGCAATTATGTTGTGTTTTGACCACCTGTGGCTCTAAAACTAGTGAAAGGGCAAGTGTGAACATTAGAAACAGCTTTTAGAGTCTGGTTTCCTCAACAGCAATTTATATACAGTCAAACCTGATACTATGAACTTTTAAGTCTGAAGGTTGACATTATAGTAGACCTCTGTATCCGTAACTACCTGTTATTATATTTAGGAATTCTCTACCAACCGATATAAAGGCTGTATCCCACAGTCCACTAACAGCTGTATGTTTCGATTCAACCCTTTCCTATGATCCTACATGTACTTGGTTCAGCTGCTTAACCTTTTTCAGCTGGTTCATCTATGCACTAAAATTGACTAGATTTTGAAATCAATGTATATTTTTTAGGGAGCAGGAGATTTCTGCATCAGCCCCTCAACTTACATCAAAGACCAAGTGAAGGAGGATGTTATTCCCAAAGGTTTGACATCCCTAAGCTTGTTTTACACAATTTGCTTCTTTTAGTCTTACATAATTGTGATGAGGATTGTCACCGTATAATACTTTGTTTTTGTTTGTATTTCATTTTTGCCTGATCTCATAACATATGCACAGCATTTGTCATCAGTGATGGTTTAAAAATTGTTGCTCTCCTCTAACATGGGACCTTGGGCTATAACCCTTTCCAGGAATTCATGCAATTCGGTTGAGTGAGATTGCCCGGGATTTGAACTCTCGACCTCCATGTTCAAAATACAATTTGTTATGACATATCTGAATGTATTTTTCTTCACCCAGCTGTCCTGGAGTATTATATCAACTGTTACCCGGCATCAGTCAACCCCTTCTCACAGGTTGGTTCTTTGTACATAATTTAATCTGTTGGTTCTCGGATTCGCTTCTTCATTTTTTTCCGATTTCCCCTAAAAAATTTCGGTCATCTATCAATGCAGTGGTTTGATTAAAAGTTTAAACTTCATTGTTTAAATATTAACCCAGCCTTTTGTGCTGACTTAATGGCTCCTTTTGTAGCATTTGGGGCTACAAAGTATAATTGGATACCTAGACCTGTTTTTATTTTTTTCGCCCTGTCGCTTTATATTTTTTCGGACAAAATCTGAGAACCAACAAATTAAATTGGTGTGGCCTAACCACAGGAAGTTCTGTACAGTGGTTTAGTGCCATGTTTTGTGGCTTAAATGTCCAACTTTTTTGTATAGGCACTAAAATCATTTCTCCTTGTCAAAAAATCTTGTAAGCTAACAAATTAATGTAACACTTGTTCATATAATTTACACTCACTCTCACACACACACACACTCATACACATACACATACAACACACATATTCATGTTCATAATTCATAAACTGCACATTTTTGTCTCGATCAGAAGGTCTCCCAGTCCTCTGTCATGTGTTTTCAAGAAGCGCTTAAATCTCCTTTAAACAGATTAAGATGGAAAGCTTCTTATCCTAATGCAATGTGTTATGCTCCAGACCATCTCCCAAGGAAGAAAGAGAATCTCTCAGGCTAATGACTTCCTGCGAGAGGTGGATGGACTAACAACAGACCTGCCTGCAGCCAAGGTCAGTATACAGTATAGTATCTGCTAGCTGATACAAGGTACAAGATGACTTTATTCGCTTTCGCAGTGTGTATAACACTAAACAGTTGCAATAAGTAAACTATTGTCATTGTAAAAATGGACTCAGTTGTATAATATAGGTGGCTATAGATATATACAAACAAGTTAAGATTTCATGTCTGACAAAGTTACAAAAGACAGATTGGTACAATATATTTACAGACTGAGTGCTGACTTCATACCAGGTCCATGCTGGTTGAGCAACTTGATCATAATTATAACTATGATGGTATACTAGAGTTCTGGTATCTTTTTGTTCTAGCCGTTAGAATGTCCAGTTTGTGACAGTTGTGCAGCTGTGTACCTAAACAAATTTTAGGTACATGTACAGGTACAGGTACATGGGTTTAGGTACAAGTCTGGACCTGAAACTGTACCTGAACGATTCAACAAATAAACATGTTCTTCTGAACTCCTTCCATAATGACAGAAACTTGAATAACCTTAACAGTGAAGTGTAAGGTTTTGTTTATGGAGAATTCTTATACATGTACAAAACATATTAGGCAAAACTAAGATGTTTCAGTTATCACCTCCTACCCTGCAGTATCTGCACATAACAAGGTCATAACAACCCGACACTCTTCGTAATATTATGGTTGATAATATATACAGGGAATCATCTGTGATGGCAGCTATTTCTGTACAATCAAGCAACATAAAATTGTCCACTTTTTGAAGGTCATCACCCTGCAACTGTTTGTGTACAATCAAGCAATATAATTTGCCACTTTCTTGGCAAATTATGTTTTTACAATAATGAATAGTTTATTAAGCTATTTGCACCTTTAGAATGATTGTTGTGAAATTGTAATGCTAAAATGCTCTTTCAAAATTCATTACATTACTGCACTCTCATTTAAAATGATTTGTATGCATATGGTTTTGCCAAACAATGTCACAATGCCAACAAAATTTACAAACTGTTCAGTATAAGCAGTTTTACCAGGATGTACATTTTATTTACTAATAGGAGAACACCTCTTTTCAACTTCGTTAAATGAGAGTCCACAATTTTGACTTCGATGAAGTGACAATTTACCAGTAGATAAAAATAAAAAGCTTGAATTCCAGAAATTAAAGGGAAAATTGCCAAATATTCCTGACTAATTTGCAGTATGCTGAATGGTTCATTTTCTTAACAACCTATAATTTGCTTATGGCAAGAAATAGACTAATGATGTTGAGGATTTTGTTTTTTCGCACTTACAGGAGATCATTAAAGAAATTGGAGGAAAGCTGAATGCCACAGAGACAAGCTTCGACAATTTGGTAGTCTTGGTTCAGTGCCAAAAGATGCATGAGGTGAGCATCTTTATCAACTTCTTTGTTGACAGAAGAACTTTATTGCACGACAATTGCAGCACATGCTGCTTCCTAAGCCCCTAAATGGCCCGGCATGTCGGCAGACATACTGCGCCTGTGCAAAATCACAGTCAGGTCTACAGTAGGTCTGTTGGTTGTTTGGTGAACGTTGCATCAGAGGTTTGTCCATTGCTTATGATATCCTTCCCAACACAGCATTAATTTGAAAACTTGCAACAGACGGGATGTCATCCTTACATGTAATTCTAAGGAACAGGAGCTTTAATACAAAACGTTCTGTAGAAGTACACACATGTACGTTTCAGATTTTGTTGAGGTGCAGTGTGTTCTTCTAACCTTGGCCACACAGCTGTATTATGCGCAAGCACTACAGCAGGGGGCTAGTCCACTTATGTGTGTGTGTCCAATGAACTGTAATACCGGTTAACTAGGAACACAAGGACCTTCTTCAACATACAGAAAATGATTTTTTGTTGTTGTTGTTTTCGCAAATCAGAAAAGAAAATGAAGTGGGCAAACCTGAGGTCCAATTTATCAAGTTGGTGTGGCCTAAGAATATAAATGACAGGACGAACTGTTTAAGGCTTACCAAACATTACACAATCATGTAATAACTGCACTCAAACTCAAGTGACCTGCCCTTTCCGTGCCCTTATCCTCCATCATTAGCAATAACTAGCTGTGGTATTGGCCAAATCATGCCAATGCTTTGCTATAATCTCACTTCATATTTAGGCTGTTAGCAATGATTGCGTTCCAAAGACAGGAAGCTGTTTACAGTGTTCATTGACTTTTGACTCTCACTGCTTTAGGAGGATGTCTTTTTCCTTTGCATGTCAAATCAAAACAACATTTTCAATATTACTAGTACACATTGAAACTGTAACACATTCATGTACAAAATTATTGTTCATTACAATCATATTCAAAGAGGTTTTGTAATCCATTTTCTTTTGGGTCCAATTTGACTCCTAAGAGCTGTTAGGTTATATAATTATTGTAAATGCTAAAAAAGGATTGGATGACTTAAGTGTACTTTTGCAACACCTGGAAAGATATATTTTTACACAGCTACATAGCACACAAACAATTTTTCTCCACGCGCATCTTATTCTGTGTGCTAGTGCAATTTATCTATTTATTTATAACATTTTCACATTTACCACTTTCTTTTTAGTATGCATTGAAAGTACATTAAACATATTTCCCTCATCTTACAGGAATATGTTGATGCCTTGAATGCTGTCTGCTATGATGCATTGTAAGTTCATGTATATACACCTTTTTCGATGAAGATTTGCCACATTTGTGGAAGGATACAAGATACAATATGACTTAATATTTCTTAAGGATTGACATAACAGTTGAATATAGAACTTTATTGACACAACAAAAAGTACAGCGACTTTTGTAAGGTCAAAGACATGTAGATATACAGACAATTATACATGGGTACAACGAAAATATCCTACGTACAGAACAATAGGTGGGTCAACTAATACTACTTGTTCTAAGGTCTAAACATTCTTTGATATATTTACCTATTTGTACACAGTAAGGGTTATTACCTTCTAGGATGAACTTAAATCTATCTATAGCATGAAATGTAACAAATTCTGTTGAGCAGGCGGAGAGAAGGTTGAACAGCTTTGTGCGTTTATCGTTATATAGACTTAGTGTACAATTCAAAATAAAATGTTGTTCGTCTTCAATATCATTGGGACAGAATGGACAAAACCTCTGGTCGCGAGGGATTTTTTATATCTTCCTAATTCTATATTCAATTTATGGCAAGAAATTCTCATCTTTGTAATCGATCTACGAACTTCAAAATTGTTTATTTCAGAAAGGTAATTTTCTTGTCCGTACCTCGTCTTTAACATCGAATAGACAGAAAGTTTTGAATTGTTTTGAACAGAAGTATGGTATTCTTGGATGTAAATATCCTGTAAACGACGTCGTAATTGATCTGCAAACATGTCAACGTGATACAGCCTGGGGTTTGTCCATACATATCCTATATATTAACCTCGTTAAGTACCATAATTAATGGCAGGTGTTGCTTTCTGTTTGCTCCAGTAGTGTTTGAAATGTTAATAATTATTGATTAGTCAATTATTTCATAGAATGATTAATTTTGCGTCCACAGGGAGGGCGTGGCCTACATGCTAGTTTCCTCATTGGCTGTTGGACTGTTGTTCACCGTATCCATGGTACTGGCATCGTTGGCATGGCAACGTCTTGGCAGGAGGTAAGAACCTGTTTTGATACATTGATGTGTGGAAGCACGTTGGCAGAACGTACTGCACCTGCGCAAAACCTGTAATGTATTGTACACGTAGTGCAGTACCATCAATGATAAGCATACTGTTGACAAATGTTGCCTTTTATGTCACATAAGGGTTTCATTATTGTACATGTACTTGTGCACCTTATGTTTTAAAAGTAAGAGGCTCTTTACATATTAATGTGCTATTAATGATTTTATAATGAAGTATAAAGATTTTAAATGAATGTTACAATTGACGAAATTCAGCCTGGTGCTGCAAATTCGGTTGAAAATAAACCATTATGACTGATTCATTGATTAAAGTATTGTGGATAGCACTTACAAATGTAGAACGTCTCATATAAGGTCGTATTCGCGCAATGAAGGTTAACATCCCATATGCAGTTTCCGAGTGTTACATGTATGTCGGTAAAAATATCGTCTGCAACAGGCAAAATTCTGATGCAGCATTGACCAAAAATCCAAGAACCAAAAACCTTGAAAAATGGTGGGTTGGCGCAGGCACAGTACATTCTGCCAACGTGCTATGTGTGGACTTGTAACACTACATAATTTGCTGTCTTTAAATTTCAATCCCATCAACCTAAAGGTTGAAAAGAAGCAGAAGATAGAAGGTTAGGCTTTGCAATGACAACTTGAAAGACAGACACAACGAAGGGAGTTGGAAACAGATTTCAAAGAGTTTGAATGTTGTAGGTTAATTGTTCCCAGGGTATGCACTCATTTCTTTAATGTATATTTAATGTAATAATATGTAACAGGATAGAGAGTTTTGATGTTTACACATTATAACCTACTGCATTCCTGCAAGATTTCTCATTACCTTCAGAAAATTGTGTTTTTTGTATCATTTGTTGGTGGACATTTGTTTGTGGACAGCATGAATTGAGAAGCTGCGAATGAGTCTTTATGATATTTGGCATATACATGTACGTATATGGGTAATTGCCAGTACAACAAAGGCCTTTGTAGAGGCAGCTTATAGACCACGTAACAGCTTCTTGTGTAGTAGTCATTTGCATGATTAACAATAAATGGAAAAAATGGAATTCTGCCAAAAGATAGGACTTCAAAAGATAGGACATTCATTCCAAAGACCATCAGTTTGAATAGATATGTTGATTACCATATTAAGCATAATGATTGACTCAGACTCAGTCCGAGAGACAGGAAGTTCTTGTGAATAATTATATCATCTGCCCCTGACAGTTTTGTGTAATTGCACCAGTCATTCAGCTTGTTTTCTATACCTGTAACATGTACCACCTGCAGTTTTTGGTTAATACAAACAGAATGAAATTAAATTTCTTGTATTGGAGCAGGAAATTAGAATCTAGTAGAATCTAGAAAATCAATTTCTATATACCCAGATCCAGGACTTTTATGTAATGTAACAGGTGTTATCATGAGCTCAAATGGCTACTTCACAGTACTAAAGGCTACTAAAGGCTTATTAAGTACTTATAGGATCAGAAGGAAGGATTCTATATGAAACTATTTCCCTATATGTGTCATGGACAATACTTTGTATAAAGTTTTTTATATCAAAACCGATTGTTGATTTAAAACCTCCACCACTCGTCCCTTATACCAACAACCTTTCTTGGAATCTCCATGTTTTGGCAACCCAAACTAAAACTCAAAGCACTAACAGAATCAGAATAGAATGTGCTACCCATAAGTCTTGTCAAATGTCAGAAAGTGGTGTGTGACGAAACATATGTCAAGAATACACATGTTATGTCATGGCTTATGTGTACATGAAAAATGTCACCCCTTGGTGATAATGCTGCTGAATGGCTTCAGTCTTCACAGGGACTTAAAGTTGATCTGTCGTTCTTAGTGTTCTAGCCAGTATCCATCATTTGACCGAATTTTGCCGCTTTATGGGAGACAAAATTTTGCACAATATGTCCTCTTTTTGAGAGACAAAAATCAGCATTGTAATTATAGAAAGAGATACTAGTATCATGAAACTAGGCTTAGCCTACCGGCAAAATTTGCCCCTCAAATTGCATGAAATGGTGTTTCAGAGGGCCAGGATTTCCTATCCTATAGCTACATGTAGGATTGTAGCACCTTTCAATTTGACGCTTGACTGATCATTGCACGGTTGCAAACTGAAGGTATTTTTGAAATGGTAATGCATGTGTCTTATAGAATTTAGCTGTCTTGTTATAGAAAAAGGTTGCTTCGATCCCTGACAGCAGCTGGTTCTGTGACAGCCTGCTTGAAAATTCTACGACTGTCAAAATTGTACGATGGCAAATAACAAATAAATATGACGGGGCCGTTAAAGATCAAGGAACATAATGTCATAGTGACATTACTCTGAAGTAAAAGCATTAACCTGACACCTGATGTAACAGGCTGTTTCAATTGCACTGAAGCGCCTTATACCCGAATCCTATTTTCTGTTCCATTCATTGCTCCAGCCTATGGTGTTTTGGTAAATTGGTTTCAAGGAACATAATGTCATAGTGACATTACAGATTCTGAAGTAAAAGCATTAACCTGACACCTATGATGTAACAGTCTGTTTCATTGGTTCAGCCTATGGTGTTTTGGTAAATTGGTGTCAGGGAACATAATGTCATAGTGACATTACAGAAGTACAATGTCATGTAAAAGCATTAAACCTGACACCTATGATGTAACAGGCTGTTTCATTGGTTCAGCCTGTGGTGTCTCGTTAATTTGTTCCAGATTCTAAGGAAAGAATTATGAGCCACTATAATGTTACATGATACAATAGCTACAAAAAATAACATGGAACACTTGTAGTATTATAATAATATAATATAATATGACCTTTTTGTGTCACCATAAACAATATTTGCCAATGCATCTTCTTACAGAAAACATTACATAGAGATTGATGAAGAGGATCCCTTCCTTCCCCCAAGCGGCATGACCTCTGACATAAGAGGAACCTCCCAGGGACCACTGTAAGTTTTAGCATTGATTCACAAGCATGATTATAGTGCTGTAAAACCACTAACAAAGGTACAAGCTAGTGTAGGTTTGTGCTGAAACAGCTTATTCTTTGCAAATTTGCATGATCTTCAACATGCAAGCAACTCTTGAGAAAAAAAAATGTTCATTCACAGATAAGGATGTCACCTCTTCCATGAATAACTTCATCAGGTTGGCAAGAGACTGTGTATTAAGAAGGTTCTATATGTTCAATAACCAGTGGGTTTTCACAGCTGACATTTCAGTGACCATCTGCTGGTCCTGAACCAGTCATTGTTGCCCTGAAGAAGGCAACAGACAGTCTGAGATGTTGGATGTGAAATCCCACTGGTTGTTGAATAAAAAACCTTGAAGTTCTTATAAGTGATCCCATTTTGTGTATAACATTTCTGATCAACTTACATATTCCTGTTCATTACCTTCTGCCCTCTCCACCTGTCTCCAGTTGACAGAAACTACACATGTACATGTATCACTTTTTTCAGCACACTACAGGCACCTGTGCAGAGAGAGCGATGGTATGTCTCTCAGACTCAGCACCTTTCTGCTGTCCCTATCTTATAAAATGCTTGAGCTTGCTCGACACTAATACCCCAGTATGTTAACAGTCTTATTCTTTTTCCAACAAGAAAACGCATTGCATTTTAGTGTATGAATTTTTTTCAGCGACACAAGCTTACAGAACAACATCTTAATATGAATTATACACTGTGTCATGTTATATAGAAGGGAAGCATATACTTGGACTCTCAAACTATCTCTGTATATATGTTGATTTTTAAAACTCAAATTTGATTTGTAAAACTTGGAACTGAGCCATCTGTTGTCTGCGCAGCAAAGTCATTGTCTAAGTCTTGTGAAACTGACTGACAGCAGCATGTTATTCATGATTTGAGAGAAGCAGGTATTGCCTGATGTTTAGCAAATCATTCAGCTCAACATACATGTAGATTGATTAAAGTCATTCAAAATCTAATGCCACATCTAATTTGAAACCAATTTATTCGGCAGGATATAATTGTGGCTCATTGTTCAGCACAAAACTGGGGATATTAGGCACCGCATTGTTATATATATAGCAGACACCATTTGTTTCCACAAGCGCAGCCAGAGTGCGGCAGATTCTTTTTCTGGGGGAAGCTGTATCTTCCCACTTAGGCTTGAAAGCAGGCAGGTGCGGCTCTCCCCTAAAAGGAAACCGCTATGCTCTAGCCAGGCTTCTTGAAGCAAATGATGCCTGCTAGAGAGTCTGCACTGGAGGTTATTATGAACATAATACACTCTGTCATGTATTAGTACTGTAACTGTTGTTTCCACTATGAAGTAGATTTTTACCTCTACATTGTGGTGTATTCTAGTGTCATGCTTACGAATTCACTTAAACAACTGCTGCGGCATATCTATAATTCGTCTCTGTTGTTACTTAGGGATCACTACTTGCGTGGTCGTGATCGGGGTGAGAGAGAGCCTCTATTGAGGGACAACCGTTCACCACCACCTTCAGTAAGTATGGAATTATAGAAGAAGAACTTTATTACACGACAATTGTACATGGTACATTGTATGGCAAACTACATAAAGAGAGTAACAACAATAAAATAAGTGTGTTGAATAAGACCTAATGTCGAATAAAACCTAACATATCTATATCATAATCATTCAAATACTAAGGGATGTCTCAAGTCTTTGATAAAGTGTTAGAATCGAGTGGGCTAATCACAAGTTTCGGTATTTTTTCTAATAACAAAGCATTCCTTTATATTATATAAGGCTACCCTTTTCCCAAAAATCTCTGATGTAATTGGCACAATTATTATATTATATATAGTAGGTGACACTTACTACTTACTTACACAACCGATTTGGAAGAACTAAAACTGTCAAAAAAGATAGTGACGTCCACCCAAGCATGAATATAATTAGATCTCCCACGAGACTGACCTATTTTGCATGCAGCTAGCTAAAAAACAGAAATTATATATACTGATTGTGATTCTGAATACACAGGTCTTTGGTTGTAAAATAAGATATGCTGTTGACATTTGTGTATGTACTCGTACACATGTAAGTATGTGAATTGACTGGTATGAAAACCCCTTGGTGTAACACAGCGGCGAGAGAAGTGGTTTGAGAGTCTATTTGTGACGTCAATTTTGACATTTTAAAGTTTCTATCCATCTAACACGGTCATGGCATTAGTGGTAAACGACCCTACTACTTCGCCATATTGATCAAATTCTGTTTCCGTAATCCGGAAGACAAAACTTCTCTTGAGCGCAGTGTAAGGCATAATTCTTTCAGATGAGGCTTACAGTCAGCGGCTTGCTTGATGATTGATGCCCAACACAATCATCGCCAAGCGAAACCGACATCCAGAAATACTCCTGTACATTAACATTGTAAACTGCTGTATTCCCGCATGTTATAAGCCTCATAAGATGTTTTACAACTCAGAGTATGCTTGATATTGATTTTTTTCACATGCTGTTGTGAATGATTGCCACAGAGTCAGTTACTAAACTATGCTAAAAGCTGTACACAGTATTCCAGTTGGGCGACTAATCAGAGTAGTTCACAGCTTGTTCACAAAGTGTCCTTGCTTCTTGAGAAGGTGACGATGGGCACGAGTCTTAGAAAGGCTTTTAGGCCACTTCACTGATGTTTCTGTCCGGGCATTTGTATGGGGGCGCCTCAAGTGTCAAACCTCTGCACGTAGAAAAAAATAGAAGACTACTCAAGAAGAGTAGGGTTGACCTGGCATGCTCTGCTGTGGTGAAGTCACATTGCACTGATAATTATCAACAAAACATGCTAAAATTTTCAGCTTCACCTCTTTCTTGTCAAATGCTTTACCAAAAAGAAAACAGAAAACAGCTGTAGGCACTGCATTATTTGCATCGCATTTGATATCATTCTGATTCACAATGACATCTCAGATTTACCTGTATAATGACCATGTGAAGTGAGTAGTGTTTTATGGTCCAATAGTCAATCAGAACCATCTGTGACATGCCGGTCAACCATTCAAGCACGTCTTTGAAATCTTGAGTTTGAAGTCTAGCCAGGGGACATCAAAAGTGCTTACTTAATGGGATCAGATAGCCCACCTCCACATCTGTACTGAACAGTAGTTATTGGTATAATTGCTGCCTTTAAGTTGTTATTTCTGCAGGGTTGGAGCCTGTAGAAGTTTTGTCTGAAGTTTGCCTCTTCAGTTCGGAAATACATGTACACTAACTTGTCTTGATTTATTTAATTTTTGTTTGGCTGTAGCCAGTATACTGCAAATGTGCAAGTAGCCAAAGGCTTTTGGCAAAGCCAGCAAAAGAGCTAGCCTGGCTGCAGTGACATACATATGAAATTTGATTACAGGAAGTTGAATTGTAATTATTAGCTTCCCGTCTGATGATTTTACTTCAAACAGAATAACTGATAACTGAAATTAATTTAGTTAGTTTGTTAAAGTCCTTCCTGCACCAGACGGTGCATAGAACAGTGCCTATCTCTATTTCTATACCCCTTGGGCCACACAGTAGTGCAATCACTACAGCAGGGGGCTAGTCCACTGGTAGTGGTGTGCATTTAACTACCATACACTTTTGCTGAGTGCTAAGCAGTGAAAGCAGTATGTATCAGTCTTTGGTATGACTGGGCCGGGGATGAAATTCATGACCTGCTGAATGCAAGCTGAACACTCTACCCACTTGGCACCGGGCAGATAACTGAAATAGGCAACAGACGTCTACCTCTATAGCCCTGAGATCTAGTCTAGGTGGGAATTCATTACCAACGTATACTTCAAACCGTAACCGGCGGCCTGAAAGCATGCTCAGCCATGTGCTTTCCAGTTGTTTTTCTGGGTGTTAAGTACCATCTGTGTGCACGCATACATAAGCAGGCTGCTGGATTTGGTGGTGCAGATGTGAAGTGGTTAATTCCAGTAGGAAATGGCTTAAGTAGTCTGTTGGGGGGGGGGTGGAAAACTGAATCACTAGGTACATCTAGATTTAGAGAGGGCACTGCAGAGGTCTGTGATAATTATGACCCAAATGTGCTCTGCATAAACTGAACCCACTTTCTATGTCATAAAGTTCGAACAAAGATCCAAGGGAAGACACCATGTGAAACAAATCTGTCACTCCAAAATGCTGTGGGAAAATTAGAGACCAAGCTTTTGCACACAGACATAGGATTAGGTATCAGACTGCAGTACACCATTGCGTGCATGCTTACATAATGTAAATATACATTGACTGTTGTCACCCACTTGACATACACATCACTGGAAAGGTCGCAGTCCTTCGGACGGGAGTTCATTGCACTTGTTGAAGAGAGCAAGGAGAATTTTCCCAGTGCAATGGACCTTTAAATACTGTACATAACATCTATCTTCTCTGTCATGACCGGTGGAAGATTAACTCTTAACATACAATAACAGAGCTAAACTGGTTTGAGATCACTTACCTCTCAAGTTTGGAATCACAAGTCTAAAACTCATACATGTATCACAAGTCATATCATCATCTACCTCAAGTAGAGTAGAATGTAACACAGTGCCGGTGGAATTGCAATTGTACAGCCATCCCATGGTCCAAGTTCATACAATTCCCAATACAAACAGTTAATGAGAGTGGCCTTGTCCTTGGTGCTGAAGTCAGTGAGATTGTAAACTTGGTAGTAGATGACTCTATGACTCTATGACTCTCTTGATACTACATATTGCACTAAATGTTTGCTATTGCACAAGAGAATATCCTGAAAAAGAAAACTACATTTTCAAGCCTGTCTGTATCAAAAATAAATGCCATAAATGGCTATGATCCCAAAGAATATAATTTTTCCCAATCTTTCAGTATACATATGCAGTGACTGGAAGAGACACCAGTTCCAGCCCAAGAGTTTCTGACCAGTAGGCCACATGCAGTAAGGCACAATCCTAAGTGTGCAATTATGGGTGATATCCTATTAGTTTCCTATTAAAGAGAGATGAATACAGTAGATGTAGTGTTGTGGAGAAGGTTTTGAGTAGTGAATGTTGCTAGTAATAACTTAACACTGGCAGCTTGTTGATGGTTTACTGATTAGCATGATTAAGGATACTACAGTAGTCTGTTGTGTCTGTGCTGAAGTAAGCATTGACTGTTGCCATTTAGCTTCTTTGTTGTGACTGTATGCAGAGGCGCTATAAATGCCTCCTGTTCGAGGGGCATGCGGAGCTGAGTGAGTGAGTGAGAGTGAGTTGTGTGGGGAAAACTGATGGATATGCAATCAAATCATTCTGCGGTAGGCACTTAGGCTAAGGATGTCGCCATGCAATTGTGACTACTTTATTGCATCAAAGTATTTTCCAACATTCGACTCATGAAAGGAACGAGGTATGGGGCCAAAGACATCATATCAAAAGCAATGCACAGACAAAACAGAAGCAAAATTTGAAATTAAATACCCAATATCTCTAGTATTTGAAAGAGAGAGGCACAGGTCTGAAGTTGTTTTGATGCACGCCAGGAATAATTCTCTCTTTTGTATCCATATCTGTGAGTGGGTGGAATAGAAATTGGAAACGCTAGTATCACTGAAAGAAAACAACTTACGCTTATGCAAGTGAGTTTCATTTCAATGAGTTTATTTTTCTTCTTCAGTACAACTATGCAGTGAGAGACCATGGGGCCAGTGTGCCAAGGAGCCAACAGGACCCAACTGTAGAAAAACGTCACTGGTGAAACGTCAGACCACACTTGGCTCCATCTTGAAAACCGATAGTTTTCATTTTACTGCTGCAGATTGTTGGATGTATTTACTCTCATTTGATTTTTGCCTTTTTTTCTTTTAACATTCTCCCTGATGAAGTAGCCATTTATCACCAAATTTATATTGGTCACATGGTTAGGCAGCAGGGAAAAGGTTAAGAGAAAAATTTGAAAGAAAAATGAACTGTTCTTCATTTCACACATATGAACAGAACTCGTACTCAGTAACGAATTATAACAAGTAGCCATGAGCCTTTTAAAACTACTGTAACAGCAGTATGTCCATCATTTCAGTCCAGTGAAAATGTTGCAATCATCATTAAACTGAATAGAGCTGAGGGCATAGGATATAAAATTTCTTTGAAATAAAGCAAAAAAATGTTCAGATTTGCTCCCATGAAGCATACAGTTGTTGAAGAGAAATTGTGCATGGGTGTTGTTAATTCGTCTATCGTTGCACGATGAAAACCTTGACATTTTAGCTGCCTTTTGTGACTTAAGAGTGGCTTCAAAGTTGTTATTCCCATGCACGCTCAGAAACATCTGCCACACTATGTGCACTTGAGTCTGCGCAGAGGTTGTGTATGTGGGTTTGCCACCCTTGAACTTTGTGACTATGACAGAACAGGCTGTTAAGAAATTATACCAAAATGGCCTTGCTGTTAATTATGTAGCAACTGTGTAAATGCCTACCCAGGTAATATGTCTTCGTGTGATATAATCTCAAGTGATAGAGATTGCATTGTAAATTATCTGTGCTGCAAGCATATCTGTTCAATGTGTATACTGTTTTGTATGTATGCAATCATATGTCAGTATGCGCCTAAAGACGAAGAAATGTACAAAATTTTGGTATACATGTACTGATATTTATAGAGAGTATTCCTTTGGCAAGGAAAATTTTATCAGATTTTATAGATGTACAATAACTTATGAAGAATAATAGTCACAACATATAATACATTTCCTCCCAAAGAATAGTATATATAATAACACTGCATATTAACTAAAATCTTAGAAAGTACTGGGTAGTTCACAATGTGTTGCATATGAAGTCCATGAAATGGAGAAAAAATCATATTTGGACATCATGATTTCATCATACATACAATGATTGGTGCACAAGAATTCGTCCACAGAATTTTATCCAGCTGTAGGAGTAGCTGTTCATCACAATTCAACCAAAGAGAGAATGGCAATTAGTGGTTAGACCAAGGAGGTGGCATGTTGATCAAATATTTCCATTTTATACTTACATTTTGCATTTCTACATTTTCAGTAAGGCGGGCAAGGCTTTTAATCAATATATTGCAAAATATGTGTTTTGATTCTGGTTATGTCATGATCATACCTTATATCTAAGATCTTTCACAGCATCCTTAAGTTTTTACTTTTATAAAACACTACCTAATAAGTCTGAATCTTTTCCCTCCGCATTTAGTAGCTATTGTTGAGGATGACACAAGGAAAGTCTTGTTAATAAACTCATCAATTGTATATACAAGACACCTGTTGCCTAATAGTTTTCTTCACTCACAAGTGTAATTAGTCATCTTGGATGAAAACATGTTGTTGAATCATTAGCCTTTGCAGGCGTTCCGGGATGGGCCATTTTTTGGGAGGGGGGCTTATTTTCTGTTCAAAGGTAGGTCGCACGCAATACAAGCTCCGGTCTGGAGGGATAGCATACTACATGTAGGGTTGGCGGCTGGAGGTTCTATTGAACGGAACGCCTGCAAAGGAGGCTATCAGTTGCCAGATGTTTTTTGTTTGTTTGTTTGTTTGTTCAGCCACCTGTTTTCTTCCGATTGCAGCAGTTCTAATTTTGGATCACCCACAAAACGTGTTCAAAGCTCACAGATTAGTGGCCTATAGAATAAGAAGCCAGGGTTTGAATTCATGTGAATGATTTTGGATTGAGCTTCAAAGGCACTGTTAAAATATATCTTTGATGTTTTGATAGATATTAGAAATGACTGTATAGCGCTTCTTATGAGTTTGATATATATGGCGTGCAATTTTTAACCGCTCATCAAGTTTGGAAATTTGACGAATACATTCTGTTTTCAATGCATTACTAGCATTTTGTGTTATTTGGAAGACTTCTCTTTTTTTTATACAATTATGGTATAATGCACGTATTTCATGTGGAATTATCATTTCCATGTATTGAAAGCGCCTTATTAGCTGAGAATACGGATACATTCATGCACACCTACACACACTGCCATGCACATGGATATTGACGTACATTAATGTCTACACGTGATTTAGGCTTCACGCTCAATGGCAAGAAGAAAAGAAGAAGGAAATGTCGCTGAGATGGGTTTCCTAATTATGGTAAAAATAGTCTTTACGCTTGTCCGTATGCCCCAGGCGTTCGCAATCTGACGCATGTCGACGTTCACGTTGTTTACAGCTATGGATTCTTCCAAATTGAGTTGTCATCTGTTTTCTGGCTACCACAAGCGTCGCTTAACGTTTTCTAGCTTACAAACAACGTTCTGTAGCATACAAGAGATTATAATGCTAAAATGATATACAGCTGTAGTATGTATGGAAATAGTAACAAAATACTCAAAAAAGGAATATATAGAAATGGTGCCAGAACAGACATGTACGTACAGTTCTATTGAAATAAGTGTTTTACTGGTGTTATCAAATCATTACTCTCTAAGCAGAGGTTTGGTTTTCGGCTTATTTTAGCGTGTTTTTAGGCCTTTTTTTAATCGAAATCTTTGTTTGCACTGGTATCTTTTTTACGCCGACGTAAAAAAGATGTAAAAAGCCTAAAACACGCCAAAAGTAAGCCAAACCTGCATGGAGAGTATAAAATCATATCAGAAAGGCATAAGAATCTTTACCCGAAGAAAGTTCTGGAATCCCGCCCACGTACATCCGTGGTTGGTATCTTGAGGGCATCGACCACTTTCAGCGAGCACAATAGCAAAGACAGCAGTCACGTCCACGTGTTAAAGCTCACATATATAGAAGCC